CACAATTTAATTGGGGAGACAAATCAATAGTGGCCCATACAAGACAGTACTTCACCAAAGTCCTAAAGTATGTCTCGTGTCTCAATGCTGACAGAGGTTTGGAAGACGAAGGGATCAATGACAGCTAGGGCAGGCAGGGAGAATGTCATGAAAAAGTCAAGCCTTGAGCTTGGCTTTGAAGAATATATGGAAGACTAAGTGTTAAAGTATTTTGGGCAGAGCTGAATAGCTTGAGTAAAGGTCTGGAGGTCTGAAAGAGCTTAGTTTGTTCTTGGGATAATGAAGATGTTGTTAGTTGGAAAAGTATGAAAATAAGGTTGATAGGTTAGATGGGATGGAGAAGATTAGAGTAAAAACAGTAGAATGATTGATTGTGGAGATCACTTAGGTTTTGAAATAGCCTGCAGGCAACTGATGTCATGGATTATTGTGAATATCAAATGACTTACAACATCACTTATTTGTTATTATTATTCTACCCACTGGTTACCCCCACTAGCTACTCAATTAGGTTCTTGAACGCCTAACTGGGAACAAAGGGAAGAGGCTTCCTATGATCTAATTTGTCGCTGATGAATGTTCCCTAAGAAACACCTAATTTAGGAATTTAGATGTTTGTTTCAGGTACCATACAGAAGTAACTTGGTCCAGAGGACCAGATAGGTGCTGAAGAGGCCCATGAGCACTAAATAAGAGAGATGGAATTCAAACCTGGGCACTCGGATTCCAAATCTAGCCTTCCTACCACTGCCCGGCTCCATCTCTTACCAACTGGGAGGCAGACACAAATATAGAGTGGCTGGAGGTGGTTGTTTTCATGTTTTGCATAGCAAATATAATAAGTAGAGCATGCCTGAGCAAGACATCATCCTGACCTCATCCAAATGATCATTTTGGCCTCCGTCACTTGCTATCTTCTCTTCTGAACATTTCTTAGGGCTGGAGACAATGGAGAGATTTACAAGCAAGCTGAGCTATGTTAAAAATAACAGCAAGACATTTAAACCTAATCCCTCATTAAACTCACTAGAGCTCTTGAGCAAGCTGGTCTCAAAATAAGAGAAGCAGTTAATTGAGATGGTTGTGGAGTAGAGTTGAATCTGCTGTGATTATGTTACATCTTCCCAAAGTCACCAATGATCACTGGCACTTTCTTTAGCCTGGGTCTGGGTAAAATACTTTATATATTTTTTTGAGCATTTAGATAATTTGCCTGGTAGGTGACACAGTGGATAAGGGGCTGGGCTTGGAATTAGGAAGACTTGAATTCAAATCCAGCTTCAGAATCTTACTATCTCTGTGATCTGGGCAAGTCACTTAACCTCTATTTGCCTCAGTTTCTTCATCTATAAAATGAGAATAATAATAATTATAGCACTTACTTCCCAGGGTTGTTGTAAGGATCAAGTGAGATATCACATAGTGTTTTGCAAACCTAAAAGCACTATACAATTGCTAGCTGTTATTGTCATCATTATTATTATTGTCATTATTATCTATCAGCTTTCCAGGGCTTGCTTTGTGGTCCACAATGTCTCTTGCATCATACCCCATCTCTCTGCTCTTGCAAGCACCTTTTCATCAGACCCTCATCCCCTCAGCTACACTATTTCAACGGCCCACTAAATGATATCTCTGCTTCAAGTCTCTCCCCCCTACAATCTATCTGACACATAGATTCCAAGGCGATTTTCCCTAAGCACTGATCTGATAATGTCACTTCTCTACTAAATAAATTCCGAAGGCTCTCTGTTGTCTCTGGTATTAAACACAAATGCCTTTGACTTTTAAAGGCCTTTACAACATGGCTCCAACCTCCTTCTGGTCTCATTATACACTATTGCCTTTCCTGGGCTCTGAACTTTCTCTGTTCTTCACACGTCACTCCTTCCATCTCCTTTCCTTCATACTGGCCACACCCTATGCCTGGAATGCACACTCTTCTCACATACAACTCACAGAACCACTCACTTTTTTCAACTCCAAGTACCACCTTCTACAACTGGCCTTTCCTTATCCCTATGCCCCCAACCACGAGTACCTATCTATCTGGTACTTATGCTACTGGTATTTTGTATTTATTCTGTATATGTTTATTCTTTCTAATTTACAAAATGGAGGAGTAACCAACAAGGACCCAATCTTTGAAACATGCACAAATATTCTCTGCCTGCTTCCAATCCAAACACATAGACATTTTGGTAAGCCTACTTTTGTTTATGAATGACTGATGAGGTATTACCTATCTCCTACCCATCTACCATGTGTCTTCTGCCTGGGCTTGTCTGTCTCATGGTTATTGCTTGGACACATCCTGATTCTTCTGGCTACTTCTATTGGCTACTGTGGACCCTGCTACCTACTCTGGTTGCCACTGGGACCTCTGATGGGACCTCTGGATCTCTTGAACCCACCATGGGCATTCTCTATCTCAGGGTAGTCATCCAGTTAAAATTAAGAAAAAATGAACACAAAAGAAAAATAGGTGCCATGTGTTCATGGACATGTGGTGGGTAGGTGAGAGATAGTTCAGCTTCATTTCCCTTCATCTGGCATCTCAAAACAGTCCTGCCTCCCCAGAGCCACCATGAAAGACAATGTTAAATGAGCAAATCTCCTCTTTCTCATGTAGACAGTTCCAGTTCAATGACTCAACCTCTGAGTCATTGGTTCTTCTGGCTTTATGGAAAGGAGACCAGTATGTCTGGATTACAGAGTAATGGAACGGGGGTGGGGGATAGGGGTGGGGTGGGGAATAAGATATAAGACAAAAATATTGATAAACTGAAAAGCATCAACTAGAGGATAATCAAGATGATGAAGTAAGAGCTTTAAGGTTCTGCCATATAAAGCAACTGAGAAAGTTTTGCCTGGAGGAAAAAAATTTTTTTTAAAAAATTCTTAATTTAATGAACACTGAAAAAGAGAGAAAACATTTCTATATACAAAGTAAGACAGAAAAGTGGGATTATATATGAAAATGCAAATCTCCTATATAGCCTGCTTTTTTAAGGTATATAAATTTTTTCTGAACTTAAACATCAAAAAAAAAAATCCATATACATAACAATTAAATGTTATCTCAGTGTCCTGATGTACCCCCCCACACACTAATTTTATTTCAGATTTTGGAACTGTGTAAAATATATACTTTGAACTTTTTTTTTAAGAGAGGCTTTATTACCGCACCAGGAGATGGTGATAATGAAATTATCAGACCACAGATCTGGAGCTTCAGGGGACCTCAAAAGCCCTCATTTTACCAATGAGGAAACTGAGAACCAGGGAGAGACATGACTGCTTCAAGGTTGCATAAGTAATTAGCATCAGGAGTGGGATCTGAGCTAAGTCCTCTGACTCTCCAGTGCCACCAGTGCTTATGGTACCACACTAGTGTCTTTCCTATATCATCTTTTTTTTTGGAAAGAGTTTTCAGGTTCTAAGTTCAGAATCTGTCTGAAACCCCTGTGGAAGAGGAGCCTTATCACACCCATTTAGCAGCTAGCTGTTCAATGAAAACGTAGGAAGATGGTGGTGTTCAGGGATTAGAGCAATGGGTAATAACAGTTTAGCAGGGCTAGCATACCATGTATGCTTTAGGTCCAGAGGGGCTCGAGATTATAAAAGTCAAAACTGTCTTTTTCCTTATTTGCTAGTCAACTGAAGGAGGGTGTCATGGTATTTTAACATTAACTTATCACATATATTTGCGTTGGCTTATGATTGGAATCCTGATGGAAAACAGGTGGCAATTCAAGAAACTAATGCTAAGGACTTTGGGAATTACAAGAGGATGCTTTGGGGAAAGATTCAGCTGAAGCAGGAGTTCATAACCTTTTGTGTGTGTGTGTCCTGGACCCCTTTGGCAGTCTGGTGAAGTCTATGGACCCCTTCTCAGGATCATATTTTTAAATACATAAAATGAAATGTGGAGGATTGCTAAGGAAAGCAATTATATTGAAATACAGTTGTCATAATATATATTTTTTTAAATTCATGGACCTGAGTTTGAAAGTTCCTGGACTAAAGGAATGCTTTCATCAAGAAAGGATATTCTATAGCACTTGCATTTGGGGGGTGACTATGGTCAGTTCAGATGTCTTTTTGAAGCAGAAAAACTAAATAACTAGAAGGTATTTGAATTCTTAAAATATGTTCTTGGAGAGTCTGCATGCTGTTAGGAAATGAATTCCTTTCCTCCCCCACACTCCCCAGAAAAAGAGAGAGAGAACTGTCAGATGGAGCATATTATCATTGAAAGAGTATCCCCAATAGATGAGATAACCAATTGTAGTAAAAAGATCTACCCCCATGACTCATTTTGGCACGGAGGAGACCCTGGATCTAGAAAACTATGCCAATAGAGTCTCTGGCAGGTTCCAACAAGCTGGAAAGACTTTGGATATAGAATCAACTAGAGACCTTTCAATTGTCTCATGAGGGCAATATATTAGAAAATAAATGGATTCTTGGATTCTCCATTAGCCACAATAATGCATGCTGGATTTGTAGTCAGAGGTTCTGAGTTCATATTCTGGTTTTGCCACTTGCTACCTGTGTGACCTTAGGCAAATCCTTTCACCGCTAATCCTATTTCCTTATTTGTCAAGGGAAGTTACAAATATTTATTAAATAAGTGCCTACCATGTGCCAGGCACTGTGGTGAGTGCTGGGGATAAAAAGAAAGGCAAAATCCATGTCTGCCCCCCAAGGAATTATAGAGTGAGGATGTTGGACTAGATAAACTTCGAGGTCCCTTTCAGCTCTAAGTCTGTCATCTTATGAATAAAGAAAAACAATTGGAGAAAACGAATCAACTCAGAATTCTATTCAGACAGTTTGTGGATCCTTCAGTACCCATTGTCTTCCACCTCTCTACAGAAATGGGAAGTGTATTTTGTTACCTGGACTGTGATAGGTAATTTCAGTTAAACACAGGTTGCCTTTCAGTGTTGTTTCATTTGCATCATTGTGTAAATTATTTATCAGGTTTGGCTTACTTTGCATCAGTTCATAGATGTCTTCCCAAGCTTCTCTGATTTTTTGTATTCATCATTACTTATGATACAACAGTGTTCCATTACAATCGTGTAGCACCAGTTCTTGAGTCCTTTGGCAATCAGAGAGGGTCCACTTTGCTTTCTTACTGTGATTTAAAAACAGAATACAGGAGTTTTGCTTTTGAAATTTGAATCTATTATTAATAGCATCAAGACCAAACAAGCAAGTATTATATATGCAAAAGATGCTCGTTATATTCCTGAATGGACATGGTAGACACCCTATGTTGCAAAAATTTAAGGAAAACTTGGATGGCTCCTCCAGAGAGGGGAATTAAAAAAAACAAACACTGAGATTAGTTTGGTTGGGTTCCTGTTTGAAGTGAATGAGGGGAAGAGATGGGGGAGTTTAGACTGAGTAACACAAGAAATCTAGCCTGTAAGATTTTAGGTGGAGCCAGGAAAAGAAAGAGGGAAAAGTGAGAATGTGCTGACTCCTTGGAGGGGTGCAAAAAAATCTGTGAGGCTTTGTGACCCACAGGCTATTTGTAAGAAGAGCAAGACGCATCAAACAAAGCCAAGCAAAACCAGTGCTGAGAAAGAGAGTAGGGAGTTTGTGGAGATCTGTAGGAAATGCTGGGTTGCTGGCCACACCAGGTAAGAGTGGAGACCATGATATTACTTTAGAACCATTTGTGTAATTAAGAATTCTTATATGGAAGATATATACATATATACATAAAATATATAAGATTTATAAGATTCATTATTTTATATAACAAATATAAATAATAATAATTGACATTTATGTAGTATTTCAAAATTTCAAAATGATTTTCATGCATTATCTTTTTTCCGTCTCACAATAACCCTCCAAGATACTGCAGGTAGGGACAGGTTGGTGGTGCAGTGGATAGAGCACTGGCCCTGAAGTCAGGAGGACCTGAGTTCAAAGCTGGCCTCAGACCAAACACTTGACACTTATTAACTGTGTGACCCTGGGCAAGTCACTTAACCCCAATTGCCTTAAAACAAAAGATACTGCAGATATTATTATCTCCACTTTACAGAATAGGAAATTGAGGTTAGGAGAGATTAAGTGATTTGCTTATGGTGAAACAACTAGTAAGAGTTGGAGGCAAGATTTGAACCCAGGTCTTCTTGACTCCAAATTAAACACACTATCTACCACAAAATGCTTATTATGATCAAGGCATTGCACTTAGGCAATGGGATTTAATAAAGTATAATATATAGCCCCTTCCCTCATGCATCTAGTAGGGGACATAAGACACAATTCCAAATTATTATAACAAAGTTATGATATGAGAAAAGGATATAAAGAACAAGATGGTGGAAACTGACAAAAGTTAGTCCTTCTAACTTTTGTCTCAGGCCAAGGAAAAGAAAACATACCCTATGATTTGGCTCAAATCTTGCCTTCATTTCTTCTGCAAACAATTTATCCATTGAACCACATAATTATATGTGGGTGGGGACAGTTTGAAAATATCAACACTCACGTGACATCAGAGACCTTCGTAAAATAAATGCTTCTCTTCATAAAGCATTACATCTCCACTCCCTTTTAAGTCAGTGCTTTGCTAATTAAGTATTTACTACCCCTTCAGGTGGCTAATTAACCCCAACCTCATACCAAGTACCTCTTTCTCTCCCCCTTGCCCCTTTCTTCTTTTTGTATTGATCCAGTGATTTTGGCTGAAGTGGAAAGAACAGAGAATCTGAAACATTCATATTTCAAAGCCGATTTCCACACATGGGCCCAACATATTAGAAAAGGAATGGCTCTTGGATTCTCCATTAGCAATAATAATCACAGTGTCTCAAGCTAGAAATCTGCAGGTGAAGCATGGATCTGGAGAAGGAATGTGTTTCTCATTAGACACCTTGAAAATGTATTTTATGCACCATCTGGGAAAGAAAGGAGGAGGCTGCTGAGTGAGATTTCTTTTAATAAGCCCAATGTTTCCCACTGTGGCTTTGTCTTCTTTCTCTTATAAAGCTCATTTGGGATTCGGTTTCCAAATTCTTTCTTCTTTACCCCTAGAAGAAAGGCCCTGAAATGGTGCCTAGCAGAAATTCAGATGTGGGGATAAGGTAACAGGGACAATGGTTCCACTGCAAGTGGCCTGGTGCTAAGGTAGGGGCACCATAGAGCCATAACTCACCAGAGGATTGTAAAGTAGGAAGATGCTGGTTGCTGCAATGAAGACACATGCATCACTGCTCTCCCCCCATCCTCTCTACAGCCTGCCAGGCACCTGATTCCCTCATCAGTATCCTCAACTGCCTTTGCCCTTCTGATTAGAGGACTGGTGAGACGAATAAGAAACCCCTCCCAAAGCCTCCCTTTAAGAAGGGCTCAGAAACCAAGCCAAGTCTTCATTTCCTACCAGCCAGTTTCTGCAGATTCGATTCCATCATTATCTTCCTCCCCTCCCTCCCCAGGAAAAGCTCATCATTAGGAAACCCGTCACCAGGACACTGTATCAGCTTTGGTACTCACACCTCATTAGTACCTACCTTCAGTTTCCTTTGCCCCCCTGAAGGGCAGAGCAAAGAGTTCCTCCCAAAGCTCCCATTTTAAGAAGCCCAGCTCAGATGCTTAGCCAACTCTTTGTTTCATTTCCAACCAGCCTTACTCCTTGTACCCACTCAGATACCCCTCCTTTCCCTGCTTTTTAAGCTCCCTTTTTTGTGTGGTCTTCCCCGGTTAGATTGTAAGCTCCTTAAGGGCAGAGTACCTAAGCAGTTAGCACAGTGCCTGGCACATAGTAAGTGCTTAATAAATGTTTATTTTACTTATATTTCCCATAAGGCAGAAAATGTGACAGGAAAACACAAATTTTCCTCCTCTAGAGGGGGATGGAAGTCTCTCAGTGGGAGAGAAAATTCTGCCTCAGACATTGAGCCAATGAGTTACAAGGAAAAGAAGTCAAGCCAAAAACAGTTCAGAACAGACCATAATGGTGCCTAGGTGAGAAAAAGCCTAGGCAGAACCCTATTTCTTTAGTCATTTGGGGCTATAAGGAGAGAAGAAAAAAAAACCTTTTGTATACAATTTTCCTGAGAAAATTGTGTGTAATCTTATTTCATGTACATAATATAATATGCGTATTTAATTATGTACAATATGTATGTGTACATTATATTACTAAGGCATTACTTTTTTAGCCATCAACAAATAGGACCAAAGACAAAAATGGTAAAGTAAGTCCTATTTAGACTGGATTCTAGGCTTGAGATATTTAATGACAGCTGAATATCAATTTGTTTAGTTTAAGGTGGTATGTATATATAATATATAAACATTCCTACAGGCAGCAGAGATGGGATCCTGCCCTTTGTGTTATAACCAACTTCAATTTTTGTTTTGTTTTATGTGTTTGCTAGTTTTTGAATCTCTAGGCTCTGAGTAGATTCTCGTAGGTGGAGTTCTGTGTTTGCGTGATTATACTTTCAGGGTCTTTTTTGTCTCTACCCCAGTCACCCGGGATGCATGAGATGGTGCATTTTTACCCTTCCATGGTATGGTAAAGTTGCCATACATGGGAGTAAGATAAATTTTAAACATATGTGCTCTGGCAGTATCCAACATTGAATCTGGTCAATCAATAAGCATTTTTAAAAATATAATTATTTTATTTTTAATTTATGGAATAAAACAAGCATTTCCCTAACATGGTACAATAAAAAAGATGATTGCACATGAAATTATTAAGCACCATGTGTTCCACATTCTTTTAAAATTTATTTTCAATTTTTAAAAAAATCCATTTTCTCTCCCTCCTGCCTCTTCCTTCCTTGAATAAAAAGGAAAGAAAAACAAAACCCAGTTAACAATATGTATAGTCACACAAAATAAATTCCCACAATGGCCGTGTGCAAAAACCATGTCTCATTCTACAACCCCAAGTCAATCACCTCTCAGTCAGCGTGTGGGTAGCATGCTTTATGATTGGTTATCTGGAAACCTTGGTCATGGTATTCATCAGAGTTCTTGAGACTTTCAAAGCTGTTTGTCTTTAAAACATTGTTGTCACTATATAAATTGTTCTGGTTCTGCTCACCTTTCTGCAGCATTTCATGTGTCTTTTTAGTTTTCTTTGAAGCCATCTTTTTCATTATTTCTTACAGCATAAATGCTTTGGGCAGAACACCCTCAGGGGAGAGGAGAGGACAGAGCTAAGTAACCCAACTGGAACTGGCCAGCTGGGTCCCCATTCAGGCAGCTCGGACCAGGGTCTCTGAGGTGGGATGGACAACTTAAAAGGCTGTCCAAAAGCTGCCTACTTAACTTGGGGTTTACTGGCTAGTCTGGCTCTCAAAGACCAAGCCTTAAACCCAATTCACTCTGGAGCTCATAGATTGGACAAGTCCCTGCCCAAGCACCGCTTCATTTTATTTTTTGGGCCCTCCTGACTCAGAGTGAATGTAAATAGCAACTGTTTCTCTTTTGGCCAGCAACTCTGAGGGTCTTCCCTTCCCAGTTTGATTTTTTTGTTTAATTAGGGGCCATCCTTTGACTCACTTCTTAATGAGGCCTATTCACAGAATGCGCATTGCCTCACTCAAAGTGAGAACCTGAAAGATCTCAGTTTAAAAGGGCCAGGGTCTCCCGTTGTATCCAGAGCTATCCCCAGTCATTCTGATGAATATCTGGCCACTGGATCCAGATAGCTCTGGAACAGAAAGTGAGGCTGGTGACCTTGAGCAGCCCTCCCTCACTCAAAATAAAATCAATTGCAAGTCATGTCATCATCTCCCTGATGTCATGGTCGTCTTCTAGAACGAAGGACAAACACACACAGCACGATCGTATTCCGTGACATTCACATACCATAATTTGCTTAGCCTACTTCTCCAACTGAAGAGGAACCCCCTTAGTTTTTAGTTCTCTGCCACCACAAAAAGTGCTGCTGTAACTATTTCTGTGCATGTGGGTCATTTTTCTCTTTCTTTGATCTCTTTAAGGTATATATATGACTAGTAGTAGTATTGCTGGGTAAAAAGGCAACCATGGTTTAATAACTTTGGGGGCATAGTTGTCCATTGTTTTCCAGAATGGCTTGACCAGTTCACAGCTCTACCAAACAGTACACTCAACTGCCTGTTTCCCTACAGC